ATAATATGAGTACATAGTTACATTTTAAAGAAAATAGAGAATATTTAATTCTATTTTCACATCTCATTGAACAAAAGTGCATATATGATCATGCTATAAAATTCTACATCAGTATGAATTTTCTTGTAATAAGAAGCATTTATCAAGTAAGATGATTTAGAATGGGAGACATGAGAGAAATGAGAAGGATAAAGCATTTTTTGTTCTCAAATTCCTTGCTAATTTTTTTTATCTCAATAAATTTCAAATTATTTCATCACATAAAACATTTACAAATTACGAATTTTAAATATAAACTAATGATTAGAAGCACAATAAAAGACAACCACAATCATATATGGCAATTTACCTGGGAAGTAAAATATGTAATACAATTCAAATTTATTATCACGTGGGGCTACCATAAAATAAATATGGTCCCCACATTTTAATTTTTTAATATTTTTAATATTACAAAAAGAATTTCGGAGTTTGACAATTATAATAAAATAAATTCTAAATTTTTAATTTTATCAATTTAAACACTAATATTTTAATTTATTTTCAATCATCAGTCGATTTTTATTTAGTAAAATCGATAAAAAGAATGATATCTTAATCATTAAACTCAATGTATGTTACATAAAATAATTTAAATATTTTTTTCTATTGAGTTTAATAACTAAAATAATAATTTTTTCTGTTGATTTTACTAACTGAGCTTAAGGTTTATATTGTTAAATGTCAAAACTCTAACATTTTCTATAGTTTTTTTCTTGAAAAAAAAAAAAGGGCAACCCATGACCATGACAAATAGGAACTATCCGTATACAATTTGGCACTGGAGACGACCATTTTGCCCCGCCTCTCATCCCTTATCCAGTCTTGCACGGGTTTTTTCTGCCTTGATGAGGAAGTGGGGAGGGAACAAGTTTTGTTTTCTTCCCATTATACTCAAACCCTATCTCGATTATATTTATTAAATATATAAAATTTAATTTATTTTCATCATAATAATATTAAAATATTACATTTAATATTAATTTTTTACTCATTTATTTTTATATTATATTTTATAATTTTTATTAATATTCTTATATTTTAATTTATAAAATTAATCCTTCTCCCGTCAAACACTCGCTACGTCCCATTTACTCCATCCCCAATATAAGAGGACAAATTAATACAAACTTACTCCAAATCTAACTCATGATCATCTCTAATTGGAATCCCTTCGTAGCTTTGTCTGATCTTCTTAAATTTTTTTTTTCTTCAAACAATGAGTGAGATCTCTCTTTGGAGATAGCCCTACAATCGCTTTAAGCCACGTTTGTTTGGCGAATTAGTTTGAATGGAATTGCTAGTGAAATGAATATTAGTGAATAAATTGTTAATGTGAGGATTGTTAGTGAAAGGATTAAGTAAAAGTATGTTTGTTTTGATAATAGTGTGAGAGATGATTAGTGATGGGATTAAATTATTTTTATATAAAATAAATAAATAAATAATTTATTTATTTATTAAAAAAATTAAAACAAATATTAAAACAAACATGTGCACTTGGTAAAAAAATTTTATATAAAATAAATTCAATCCTCTCACTATTTTCCTAATCCCACTCAAAATCCAACCAAGCTAATCCTCCTTATGTGAAGGTATTCATAGTCCTATGAGACTATTAGTCTCCTTTTATTTTTGTCAACTAAACATGGGTAATGTGGGACCCACAGGATTGGTAGTTCAATCCTCCCACCTATAGAGCCAAACAAACATAGCCTTAGATCTTAACTATTGATAATGTGAACCCCATATATACATGAGTAGATTTCACACATATATTAAAAGTTAAGATCCAAAAGAAATTATAGGCCCAAAAAAAGGAATCCAAGCATTTTTCTCTTTTCTTATGGGACCTGATCTACTTAATTAAATGATATTGATTCAAGTAGAGTAAATTACAGCATTAATAGGACTCAAATGATTGAAATTGAGGGGGAGTGGTGATACTGGGATAGGCGTTTTTTCGTAACCCGTCTCTTCACATTTTTTTTTATAAAGTTTAAATTTAAATTCGTATGAATTATTTAAATTATTTATTTTGTAAATATTGTAATAAAATTTATTCATATAAAAAATTAATTATATCAAGAGTTATGTTAGAAATTTTAAATAAATTATCAAATTTTTTATCAAATCTCTTATATAGATGAGGAACCCACACACATGTGATTGTGTAGGTCCTACACCCATGTGTGAAGTTTGATAGAAAATTTGATAATTTAAACATATGAATAAATAATATTTTATTTAAAAAAAAATGAGTAAATTACAAATGTAACTCCCTGAGGTTTGCTTAAAGTATAGATTGCCCTTATAATTTGAAAAAATACAAATGCTCCCTTGTTAGAATTTTTTATTTAACATAATTATAAAAAAATAAAATTCATAATTTTTCTTTTATACAATAATAAAATTACCTAAATTATTAATTGAAATATATTTCTAATATCATTAAAAATTGTTATTTGACTTAATGGTTTATTAATAAAAGAGATAATTTGTTATAAAATTAGAAACCTCAGGGGATGAAATGTAATTTCTAGAATCACAGAGGGCGATTCGTATTTTAATCAAATCTCAGGGAGTGTATTTGTAATTTACCTTAAAAAAAATTAATGGTTTAAGTTTACTTTTACATTGTTATTCATTTTATAAAATAAAATAATTTTATTTTATGTTTATAATTATTTGATGAAATTTATTTTTATTATAATGATTTTTATTATAAAATTTATGAGGTAGAGTATTTAAATTATTAATATAAATTTAAAATTAAATTATATAAAAAATATAAAATAATAGTAAAAAATAAAATATGCAGAGAACCGATACTGTTGGCGATAGTAGCTTAGCTCGACATAAAAGAGGTGGAGAGAGAGAGTAATGGAAGCAATCAATGCAGGCAGCCGCTTCAAATTGTAACGCCTTTCTCTCAACCTCTGACTCCAAATCCTACCAAGCGCCATTTGTCAAGTTCAAACTCCACCCGCTCTCTTCTCATTAGAGTAATAATTCAATTCATGAATTTAAATAAAAATATAAAAAATAATGATGAAATCACAAAATATTATTTGTAAAAAAAATTTATATACAAAAAACTTAAGTAAATTACATTGACACCTCCTAAGGTTTATATTTATTACAGTTCTCCTCTCACCTTTTGAAAATTACATTCCTCTCCCTGAGGTTTAAAGTTTTATTACAGATTATCACATGAGATTTAAAATTTTATAATAATTCCTCCCTCACCGTAATGATCATCATACATAAAATTAAATTACTAAGCGGGTCAGTGTAATTTTTCAAACGTGAAAGGGAGAACTATAATAAACATAAACTTCAAAGGGTGTGAGTGTAATTTATCTAAAAAAATTTATACTTGAGTGCTCCAAATTCATGAGGTTGACTTATACCTAAGATTTATCTATTTTGAATTTATTTTTAATGAAAATATGTGATTAAAATTAAATTTATATAATACGAGGTTTATGTGTAAAATAAATCTGAACAATAAAATAGTAGTTCTAAATTTGTAAAATTATTACATTCTTAACCCTAAACTTAGGAGCTATACAGTGTGCATTATCCTCATGCACTACCATGCACCCTCATGATGGACTTAGCATTATCATGATGACTCTAAGTGCGATCCAATCGTGATTTACAATCATTGGATCCTCAAGTAATCTCTCCTACCCCAGCCGAAAGTTTCACATACCCCACCACCACGTCATTTAAACTCTGAATCCAAACCAAAACCCTCCCTAACAGTCTCTCAACAAAATTTATTAATTTACCCAATAATGATCGGACCTGTTTTTGTTTATGTCAATCTAATTAAGATTGGTTAGTTTTATTTTGCTACGTTATGTATTCGTCTCTGTTATTGATAATTATCTCAATATTTCATATATATTGATTTTTATTAATATATATATTTTTTTGATGATCAAAAAAATTCTTCTATGTGATTATTCATGTAGTCCATAACAAATTCGTTTTTTTAATTATTTAACAAAAATATATTGTGTGATTAGTTTGAAATATAACAATGCACAAAATTGAAACACAAAAAAATATACAGAAAATATATTATGTGATTTAGATTTATTTCAAACATGATTCACATAATATCAAGGATGGATCTCAGCCACCCATTAAATTTTTTGTGCATTTTTTGTTTTTTAATTATGTCAAACTATCCTTTTTTTCCACAAAAAAAATAAAAATGATGTCCCAATCTATAAAATAAGAAAATATTTAGAAACACATAAATCAAATATAAAATCACAAATTTTATATTCATGTGAGAGATCGTATTCAATCCAGTAATTATATAAAGTAAATTTTACTTTTTCATGGTACTTGTATTTATGATAAATTGTGTTTTATAAGAGAACTTAACAATTATGCCCTCCGTACAAAGTTAAAAGAACAATGCTAGGAATTTTAGTAAATTATCATTTTTTTTTTTATCAAACACTTATATGGGTGTAGGGTCTACACTCATGTGGGTTTCACACCACTATAAGTATTTGATAAAAAAATTTAATAATTTTATAAAAAATAATATACAAATTTACTTTTTAAAATGAATAATATGTCAAGAAATTAATTAATTAATAATTAAATTGATATATCACTCCCTCCGTACAAAGTTAAAAGAACAATGCTAGGAATTTTAGTAAATTATCATTTTTTTTTTATCAAACACTTATATGAGTGTAGGGTCTACACTCATGTGGGTTTCACACCACTATAAGTATTTGATAAAAAAAATTTAATAATTTTATAAAAAATAATATACAAATTTACTTTTTAAAATGAGTAATATGTCAAGAAATTAATTAATTAATAATTAAATTGATATATCACTAGATTTACAAAATAAATCTAATTTGTTAGTCTCAATAACAATACCCTTATTGGGCGTCTAAGCATTTTTCAAGTTAAAACTCAAGTAATTGAAACCCATAAAAGCCATCACATCTCTCTCACCCAAGACATCATTCATCTTCGCCATTTCAACCCAAATGGAGGTTTCAACTCAAGAAGTCCCACCACCACCGCCACAAAAAAACTCAACCACCTACCATGATCACCGCCGCCACCACCCTCCTCCTCTCAATCACGAACAACGAATCCTAGTACAACAAGGTTCAGAAAGATTCGTCATGATCCTAAATAACAACAACATCAATGAAGAACAAGAACAACGAAAGCAACAAAAAAACACCACCACCTCCACCGCTGCTGCAGCCGTCAAATCAAGAAGCAAAGGCTACATGCTGCTTCTAGGGATCAACTACATGCTTCTCTTTGTGGGTTCAGTCTCAGCATCCCTTCTTTCAAAATTCTATTTCAACCACAAAGGGTCAAGCAGATGGGTCTCCACATGGGTCCAATCAGCTGGTTTCCCTCTCCTCCTCCCTATCGTGTACCTCCCTTACTACCTCTTCAAATGCACCAATCGCCGCCCCTTCTCCGCCTTCTCTCCGCCGCTTTTTGCCTATTCGATCACCGTTGGCCTCCTCTTAGGCATCAACAACCTCCTCTTCTCTTGGGGAAACTCTTATCTACCAGTCTCTACCTCTTCTCTCCTCTTATCATCACAATTAGCTTTCACTCTCATCCTCTCTGTGATCATCGTCAAAACCAAAGTCACTTTTCAAAACCTCAATTGTGTAGTCCTCTTAACCCTGAGCTCGGTCCTCTTAGCCATGGGTTCGAGCCACGACAGACCACCGGGTTTGACCCAAGCCAAATACTTCGTGGGTTTCTTCTCTACAATCGGAGCCGGGTTGTTATTCGCTCTCTATCTTCCTCTCATGGAGATGATCTACAAGAAGGTGGATTGCTATGCCATGGTGGTGGAAATGCAGGTGGTGTTTGAAACATAATTAGAGTTTTTAAAATTTGAATTAAAGGTTATGTTTTCTTAGGTAAAGAAATGTTTTAAGTGATTGGGTATTTTGAGTCTTATATATACATAACCATCTTTTTACTTTAGATTTATTACAAATATCATAAGTTTATTATACACAAAGTATTATACTTAATATTCTGATTATTGATTGTATGTGTCAGACATTCTATGAAATATTGAATTATATTTTAAATCGTAATTTGTCTATTAAAATCTATAAGAAAAGAAATGAATCTGACTTTTAAATAATGATATGTTGTTTCTATACCATTATTGTCATTTATTGTCGTTTGATTTTGGACTTGATAGTTTTTCTCTGTTCATACGTTTTGTGAAAGTGAATTTTATATTTAAGTATTTTCGTGCATAAATTCCCAACAGGTGGTGATGGAAATCGCTGCCACGGTCTTAGCCACCGTGGGGATGGCGGTGGACGGCGGATTTTCGGATATGAGGAGAGAAAGCCGGAAAATTTTTGATTTGGGCCCCACAGCGTACTGGTGGACCCTGGTTTCAAATGTGGTGACGTGGCAGCTCTGCTTTATGGGCACGGCAGGGATGGTGTTTTTGACCACGTCGGTGACCGGAGGGATTTGCATGACGGCGTTGATGGCGATCAACGTGGTGGCAGGAGTGGTGGTTTACGGCGATGAGTTAGGCGGAGTGAAGGTGGTCTCCACCGTGATATGTGGATGGGGTTTTTGTTCTTATGTGTATGGTATGCATGTAAAAATGAATAGTGACAGGAAGAAAGTCAAGGTCGTCGTCAACGACAACGATAACGATAACGACGGTCGTGATCATCAGTTGGTGATGACGAGTGGGGTTTGAGTTTTGATGGCCATGATCATAAATGTACTCGATATGAGGAGTAGGCAGTGACTTAGGAGAGCATAGCCTCTGTGTCTCTGTTTTTGCAATTAATGCGAATAGATGACGTCAATAGAGGAGACAAAAATGAATAATAATAATAATACATGTCTGTTTGGACAAAGTAAAGCAGGCATTTTTTTTTAATTTGTTCACATTCTTGAGAGCTAGTAGAACTTCCAAAACATTTTCAAAAACAAAAATGCTTTAGAGCTCTAATATAGGAACTCTAATAGCTCTAATAAGAATGTGGGACCCACTCTGATGTGATGTTTGTGCCTTTCCTTGTTTTTTTTTTATTTTTTTATTTGAACACATCACTAGAGCTCAAATTAAAACTCTAAATTTAGAGGTCCCTAACATTTCCCTTTCAAAAATATAAAAAACTACGCATTCTCAAGCTGATTTAGACCCTTTATTATTAAGAAAACAAAAAAAAAGGTAAATAAATAAAGAAACTAAGCACTCTCAGGTTTGCAAACACCCCAAGAAGGGAGCTTCTTTCTATTCTCCTAAAGTGAATCACCAAGGATCCTCTAGAGTGAAATTTCTCTAAAGTTTCCTAAAATGCTATATTGTGTGGTTGAGATTTACTGGCAAGTCACATCAATTCTGATGTGACTTGCCAGTAAATCTCAACCATACACTGTAGCACTTTAGGAAATTTTAGGAAAAAATCACTCTAGAGGATCTTTGCTCAAAGTGAATTGGATCTGCAGTTTTAATTGGTGCCTATTTCAGATTCTGTTACGTTAATTTGATTTGTTTATATTTTTAATTTTGCATATAAATTATTCATTAAAAAAATTTATTAATTTAATATTTTTAAGCATCTGATTTAATCATATTTTTTTTAAAAAAAATGAATGAAATGTTATCAAAATTATACTTATTTAATTTTTTTTATGATAAATATGATGAAATTATAAAATTATGATTATATTTGATTTTTTTACTTTTAAAATGAATGATTTACATATAAATAAATAGATAGAATCATCAAATTGGAATTTATAGCAGACTCATGGGCCCAAATTATAGAGTCCGGATTGTCTGCCGTTGTTTCCTGAGGTTGTTCCTGCGGCGGGTCAAAAAGACGTCATTTTGATCCTTTCTTTTTTTTTTCCCTTCTTTTTTCTTTTGTCTTTTGTCTTTTGTCGTCATCATCTTCTTCTTCTTCTTCTTCTGTTTTCTAGCGCAAGTCGACACTCCTTGCTACAAAACTGAAACAGATGCCAAACCTCCTTCATTCATTTCAACCTCTACACCAGGATCATTGATCGCACCTACCACCTTAAACACATTGAAGACGGTTAAATCTCCTCACTGGCAAGACTGTCTCCATGAAAGCCGTCTCCAAAGACAAAATCATCAAAGCTGAAATGATGGATCAAGTGAAACGCGAGATATCGATAATGAAGAAAGTTCATCACCCCAACGTCGTGAAGCTCCACGAAGTCATGGCTACCAAATCCAAAATCTACTTCGCTATAGAGTACCTCTGCGGCGGTGAACTCTTCGAGAAAGTCTCCCAAAGCCGATTGAAAGAAGACTCAACTCGGAATTTCTTCAAACAATTGGTCTGCGCTATTGATTTTTGTCACAGTCACGGCGTTTACCACTGCGATTTGAAGCCCGAGAACTCCTCTCCAAAAAAAAAAAAAAAAAACAGCATCAAAAATCGAAGAAGAGAAAGGGGAAGAAGAGCCAAGCACATAGGAAGAGAGAGAGAGAGAGAGGAGAAGAACACCTCTTTAAACCCAAAACAAGAAAAAAGTTAGAAACCTGAAGAGGTGTTCTTCTTCTTAAAGCCCAAAACAAGAAAAAAAAAGTTAGAAACCTAAATGCATCCTCTGTTCTTCTTCCTTTCATTTCTGTTGATTTACAGAGAAACAAAAGGTACCCAGAAGCCAAAAGCCAGCTTATTTTGAATGAGAAAGCTAGTTTTAAGACCAAGCTCCAAAAGGGTTTATTTGGTTTAATGTAATTTCCAGATTAGAGCCCATAGATCAAAGGCTTGAAAACAACTTCAAGCAAACCCCCTTATGTTGGTTTCAAAAAATAGAAGAACTCTACTTCAGCCTGCCAAAGAAGAAGACAAAAGAAGAAGGAACTTCGGCCTGCACTGAAGAAGAAACCCAAAAAAAAAGGGGGGGTCAAAACGACCCGCCACCGGAACAGTCGCAGGAAACAAAGGCAGAGGATCCGGACTCCGAATTATATAGTCTAGTCAACTTATGGACTAGAGACAAGACTTTTCTTATCCCAAATATCCAAAGGCCCCATTTGTTTTGGAAAATATAGGTGAAAATGAGATTGAGATAGAGGTGGGATTTATTATATGTTGTGTTTATTTTGAGAGATAAAGAGGGGATTCATAATCTCATAGAATTAGGATGGGCCTTAGTGTTGGGATTGAGATGGAGGAGGTGGAGGTGATATTAGAAAATTAGTCTTTCAGCTTAAGTTTTTTTTTTTTAAATTTATGTTGGGCATTTTTTTTAACATTAATGTTTAATGTTTTGTATTTTTTGTTAAGTAAAAATGATAGTTTTATTTGTTTTAATATTTTATATTTCTTTTATAGGGTAATTATTTAACAATCCCCACACTAATAACTATCATCAAAACAAATATAATTTTACTTAATTCCCTTACTATTAATCCTCTCACGATCAATTTCCTCCCTATCAATCCTCTCCGTTCTATTTCTAAAAATAAACGGGGCCCAAGAAATTTTATGAAAAGTAGTATGTAAAAACCTTTAGGACGAAATTCACTTTATCCCTTATAGTTTCGTCTCGGATCACTTTATCCTCCTATGATTCAAATATAGGCAGATAACTCCATTATAATTTTGGACTAAAGTACTACGGTTAATTATTCCATTAAAGATAACGAAAAGTGTGTCACACTCTCTAAAATTGAGAGTGGGGCAATGCAAAAATCATTAGTCAAAGTAAAAAATTGAATAAAATGTCAATAATACTCTAACCCTAATTGCTACCTTTCATCAATAATTTAATTTAATTTAATTTAAAATGTTACTAAATGAGAAATTGGATTAAAAATTAAATAGTAGATTATGGTAATTTTATGTTAATAAATTAGACTATTTAGATTAATTTATTGTTTAATTTAATATATATATATATATATATGTAAATGTTTAATTTAAAATGTTATTAAATAATAAATTGGGTTAAAAATTAAAAGTTAGATTAAGATAATTTTATGATTTAATTTTATGGTAATAAATTAAGGTGTTTAGATTAATCTTATGGTTTGATTTATGGTAACTTTATGTTTAATTTAAAATGTGATTAAATAATAAATTGGATTAAAAATTAGATTAAGGTAATTTTATGGTAATAAATTATGGTATTTAGTTTACTATAATTTTATTTGTTAAATATGTTATTGAGATAAGAAATTATATGTATTAGAGAAGAGAGAAAGATAATATACCATAGGGATATTTAGATAATTTTATCCTTACTTTTAACAAAGTTAGCTTTGCACTTTAGTCTAAAACTATAAGAGAGTTCTCTGCCTATATTTGAATTTAAGATGGTAAAGTGCTCCGAGACGAAATCACAAGTGAATAAAGTGAATTTTGCGTAAATTTTCATACAAAAATTCATCTATAATTTTGAGGCAGTATTTTAAAATTATCTGACACCGTGAATATTTTGATTTTGATAGAAGGAAAAAAAAAAAAACCACAAAAATATTTCTCAACAACAATAAAATGCTTTTCTAGTATTGCACAAAATATTTTGACAAGAAAAATGCTACACTTTCATAATTTTTTATACAAAAATTTATATCAAAGTAACATGATGATGACATTTTTATAATTTAAAAATATCTTTTGTGGGGGGTTGTTTTAAAGGGATAGACCCACAACTTGGGCCAAAAAGGCTACAATTGTCCAATGAGCCCTTAGAACAAAGTTGAAAGTTGAAACTGTTATGTGATGGGAGATGGCACAAAATAAAATTCACTCTCCTTTGTTTTCGTTTCAAAATTTATTTTTTTATTTTTTATATTTTTATTTTTACTAAATTTTTTTAACATTTTAAATAATTTTTTTAATTTTTAGACACACCTAACATAAATACATTTAAAAGTATAATTTTATGAAAAAAAAGATTTTAAAAATTCATCAAATACCAAAAATATAAAAAAACAAAACAAAACAAAACAAAAAAACACTATAACATATAAGACTTTTGGCGAGCAATTATTTTGGTCCCTAAAACTACTATTTTAGTCTTTAAATAGTTTTTGTGACAAAATTAATTCCGTCACTAAAACAGTCACTAAAAGTGCGTCCAGGAAAGTCTTTAGCGACAAATTTTTGAAAATGTCGCTAAAAATGACAATTAGTGACCAATTTTATATTGTCACAAAATGTTTAATTTTACAAGACTAAACATTTGGTCGCTAATACTTCGTCATAAAATGTCCCAATTTGGTCGCAAAAAACAAAATAATGACATTTTTAACGACAATGATATTTGGTCGCTAAAAGACATATAACTTTCTCTACAACACATTTTCGTTGCTAAAAATCAAAATTAAAATTTTGTAATCATTTAATCTCATAGCTTAAAATGCACAAAATTAAATGTCATCCATTCATATAAAAAAAAAATTTAACATTCACATATCAAACGCACTCTATTCCCAACCTATAATGAGTATATAGAAAGTAAAATTTTACAAAAATTAAAACTGAAAGTTTCCAAATTTAAATCAAAGTAGTAACAGTTTAAATGAAGAATAGCAATAGTTTCTTAAAAGAGAATCTCTAAAAAAATATTTTCTCAACATCAATATCAAGCTTTATATCAGACAGCCTTGGCACAAGAGGCTTCAAGCTGTACTTAGGTGTGACACCCTTTGGACATCCCTGTAACCCAAAATTCAAAAAGAAAAATCAAATAATAAAAATCAACACAACATAACCTCATTAAAAAATCAATAGTCATTCATAATCAAATAAGTTACAAATAATGAAAAAACACGTTATCTCAGTGTACTTTGAGTAGTAGTGAGCTATAATAAGAATCAACACAACAAGAAAGTGAGTCACCTAGAATCAACACAATAAGGTTATCATAATCTAAGCACGTTTTCAT